TGAATGTCGATTGATCCTGGAGAAGAAGCTGGCATGAAAAGAAGACAAAAAAGTCAGAGTGAAGTATGATTCAAATGAGGTACAGAACAGTTTTGAAATACTTAGTCACATGTATTGATGGTTACTTTACGAACCTGCCTGGCCCCTGTGCTCCTCTATGGATCAGCACTCAACGTTTTTAATGAACTGTAATGCACTTTGTGTTGCATTGTTGACAACGTTTTAATATGAAGAGTGTTTATGGCAGATTTCTGTTATGGAATGCATGTTTTTTGAGAATAATAGAATAAATAGCACATGCAGGGTTGTATATTTATCTTGTTTTTATCAACTATCGGCCCATTTGCAATTGTGTCTAAAAGATCTTGTCTTGTGAAAATATAACAGTTGCTATAGCCTGCTTTAAGCGTTTTGCTTCTGCCTACTCCTTTTGATCTTTGACTTGTCTTACGTTTTTCTCTGTAAACATACCTTTTATTCTTGTGCTCAAATCAATAAGTTCATCTCTACCTTAAATCTAGGCTGACATGATGAGAACATTGGTTGCCGTAATAAAAATCACACAAAAGGCTCCACACAGATGTTCACTTTTTAGACACATGAGTAATTCTTTGTGTTCCCTGTCTCAGACCCCTACCCTCTGATCACATGTCAGTAAGTGGAAGGATCTATTGCAGGTCAAGCAAATACTGTTATAGGTGTATTTACTGTATTGGATTGTCTCTGTCTGCTTTGTGTTGTATTGTGTTGTATCAAATGGGTGAGAGGGGTTAGAGCCAAAAAGGCCTTGTGTCTTGTTTGTCTTGGCCTCTTTCAAACCAAGTAGTTCATTGTGTACGTTATGTGTAAATAAGCAGACAAACAGACAACCAGCCTACATTTTTGACACTCAACAGTCACCTACGATTGTTTAGCAGGCATGTCAAAGTCAAATACATCAGAGGGCCAAAAAAATAAATTTGCTGCGAGCCGAGGGCCGGACTGGTTCAATGTTTATTAACTCATTGCCTGCCAGCCTATTTCAGAACAGGTACTCCCATATTGCCAGCAGTTTCTGATGATGTTTATAGATTTTTCAAGACCCACAGAATATTGTGTACTATGACAATTTGAAATCTGAAACCAGATTCTAAAAGAATAGACTGTCTACTTTCATCAGCAAAAATAATTTTGTTTCTAGCTTGTAATCCCCAGTTGAGTAGAGGGAAGTTTTACTGAAATCACCAAAAAGCTGAGAAATAAGAGGCACAACAAGTGCATCTAGCTGTTTTCAAACCATTCAGAGAGCGCTGCTGCCACCTGCTGGCTCGATTCAATATGCTCTCAAGCTTATCCCCAAACATATTAGATATAATAGACATCTGGGAACATGAAAATAGCGGAAAACGCAATTGACGTAATAGTGCGACAATGGCAGGCAACGGGCCATGTAAAATTCATTCCGCGGGCCAAATCCGGCCCGCGGGCCTTGACTTTGACACATGTGGTTTAGAGTAAATGACAGTGTAGTGACTGTGAAGAAAGTAGGTCTTCTGTTTGAAAGACACGGACACAGTATTTAAAGAACAAACGTGGATGATTCCCTGTGGATTACTGAGAGAGTGAGAGAGGGAAGTAAAAACATGAGCATTTTGAATTCTTAAGCACTTGTTATTTTTGGAGCAGTTCAATCAAGTCTAGACCGAGTGAGGCTGCACACATGAGTGAAGCTCTAAACAAGCACTTTGGTCAGTCAGAGTGGAAAGGCTCTGATTTGGTGCGAAAGCTTAAATTGATGTGGGTGGATCAGATAGAGGGCAGCAAAGTGACAAAAGAAACCGCTACCTTTAAAGAAGAAAAACTGCCACTGGACTTTATTTTAAATGTACAGTTTCAGCTAATCATCATTATTGTGATCATTTAGACATTTTTGTATGATTCCTTGTTCATCCTGTTTCCACAAAAATTTGGAACTTGTATATAATAAGTTCCATGAGAAACTGTTTGTGTATTTAAAGCTGCACTAACTGACTTTGGGATTTTGAAGCCGCGGACTCGCTGGCCTCGCTCTTTCTGCTCCCCTCCCCGCACCCACGAAGCTATCGCCCCCCACACACACACAGTGTTGAGATGGAGCTAGCCTCTCCCAATATGGATAATACATGGATATGGATTTTCACGTGGATGGCGTGACCATAGAACGATAGAACCGGGAAGCGCGGAGGAACGAGACTTTCTTTTGGATGGCTATTTCGCTGTGTAAGCAGTAACTGGTGACGAAGACGAGAAAGTTTCAGGTTAGCTCCGCCGCTTGTTGTGCTAACTCAGCTGTCTGTGCTAACGGACCTGGAGATTTCTCACGAAAGTGGGGGCTAGTGGTGCGCTGTGATTGGTCACAATCTGCGACCCGAAACACATTCTCTTCCTTGTTTCATCAAAACTCAATCGAAAATATAATGTCAGGCCAGCACAAATCTGCGCTACTTTTTCTTCAAAAGGACGTATATCCCAATGCACTACATGGACATGGATAGCATTTTCGTAATTAATACGAAAATAAAGTCAGTTAGTGCAGCTTTAAGGTATAGCAATACTGATCTATTGCTATACCTTAAATTATCCTTAGAATTTCCAATCCGCGCCTTATTTTTTTTTATTGTAACCTGATCGCACCATACCACTGTACTATTTTAATTTCGTACCAAGGTCTGGATTTGCTCCACTGAGCTGTTAATAGGTGGGAGGGGTTAACTCCTTTTGCAGATTGAAACGATTAGATCTGAGTTTACCCAATCAACAGTGTATGGTGGTGACGTACTGTATGTCATGCACCCGAGCATTTAGCCTAGCTTTAGCCATCTCCTCTGCTACTAACGAAGCCCGTGGGGAGTGGAGCCACAAGATCTTTGCCAGCGATGAAATTTGCTTAAACGTTCCTCTTGCTCTGGCTTCAATTTCTTGATACTTGGAGCCGAACCAGAACGGATCGAAGAGCTTCCTTCATTATTGTATTTGCCGCCATTTCCAAACTACAACCAGAAAATTCGGCGCAAACTCTGGACGTCACCGACACCTTCCTACAACACTCGCCTCCCCCGCTCGCTGAATGGTTGGAGGGACTTCAACCGAGTTAACCGCAGCCACAGAGTTAGCAGATGGCTAAGGCCAGGCTGAAGTATATTGGTTGAGGTTTTGATGCATTTCCTTCCTGATTTAAACGATTATTTTCGTTTTATTTTCTGCAATAAAACATCAGTGATCATTTTCAAGAGTCATATCTAAATGTGTCCATCTTCTGCTGTGTTTTGCATTTTATCACTGCATCCACCGTGAATTTGGTGCAACGGCGCAATTTCAAATAATGACTTTCTCTTTGCCCTTTCGCTTTTCTATTCCACTGCTGGATTTCTCCATTAACATCGAGTTCTTCACGAGCCCATGGGAGGAGCCCAGGGTAGGGTTGGGAGCTTGACATTAGCGTTCAAGGAGAGCTCAAGGATAGGACGGCTGTCTCTATGGTCATTATCGCGTCTTCAACAGTGCCCGCTCCTCTCCCCAGTGGCTTTGTCGTCCCAGTCCAAGAGTCGGGTCCCGTGCAGTTACGTGCTTTCTGCCATCTCCCTCACCTCCCGCACCCCAACAGTTTGTGCGAGGGATGACTGATGACGACTTTTAACTCTGCCTCACAATTCAGCACGGTGGAGAAAAGGCCACATCCGGGATCGCAGTGTCCGGAGAGCGAGAGGCTGAGATATGCGGGCAGTGACCGGGGTTATACTTATGCAATCGTGGTTGGAAAGTAGAACGGATATAAGCGCAACAGAGGACAGAGGACACAGAAGACGAAGTGACAAAGTGGGGAGGAGAAGTCATACATGCCTCTCTCCAGTGTGTCTGTAACTGCTTTAGGGAATTGGGATGTGGTGGCTTTGTGCGCCGCTGTGCTTCTCAAGGTCTTTCTCTAAACAAATCCAGTGTGAGAGGTCTTTCAGAGAATAGGCACGTTGAGTTAAAGCTCGGGTACCTAATGTTCAGTCCACAATCAAAAAGGAACAGTGGAATAAAATCTATGTTACTATATGCTGTAGTTCCTAGCTCTCAAAAGAGTTTTTTTGGGCCCCTCAGAGAACTTTGGATCCGCTTTTTCAGATAGAAAAGTGAAAAAAGAGGGGCCCATACTCACCCTCTCAGCCCCAAAGCGTCAAAGAGTGACTCACAAGGCTCTATCTTACAAGTTTTCAAAAGATAACATGTTTTATCAAAAGATGAAGACAACATGCCGGGATCTAATTTGATAACTTTTGCAAACTAAATCTAATATTTATAGAAAACTGAAATTAGGTACCTCAGCTTTAAGAAATTGTGACGCTTCATTTTGATCTTGTGAAAACTGCATTCTTGTTTCTGGATACAAATGGTAACATGACACAGAGCTTTGATTATATATTAGGATTTGGTCTGACACAGAAACTGTTGAATAAAATGTACAGTGGTGCAAAACACTATTTAGTCAGTCACCAATTATGCAAATCCTCCCACGCAAAAAGATAAGAGTTGTCTGTTCATTTTCCACCATAATTCGCAAATTATGGTGGTAAATGATTACTTAGTCCAAGCAAAAGTCCATCTCGATACTTTACCCTTTGTTGGCAATGACAGAGGTCGAATGTTCCCTGTACGTCATCTCAATGTTATCACACACGGTTACTGGTATTTTAGCCCATTCCTCCATGCCGATCTCTTCTACAGCAGTGAAGATTTGGGAATTTTTTGTCCCACTGTATTTTTGTACTGCCCAAAAAAATCACAATAGCTGTTGGCTCAAAAGACTTTATTAATCAATGTTCACCCGAATTAAGCCATGATTTCTAGAATACATTTTATTTGTGTTCATATTCATCAGTCTTTTTTTTTTTCTTTAAAGATTCAAAAATATTCTATATAGTTTGGCATCTAAACCATGCTAAATAGGCCAACTTTTTCACATCCTCATAATCTCTCTGGTTTCTGTGTCCCTGCAGTGTGAAGATGGTCTTGCTGTGGACCGCTGGCGACATTTTCAAAACTGCCTACTTTGTTCTGAACGACAGCCCGGTACAGTTCTGGGTTTGTGGTTCTGCTCAGATCCTCATCGATGTGGCTATTCTGCTGCAAGTGCTGCTCTACAACCGAGACACACACACCAAACTGGCATAAGTGTTACGACTGCATCAAGACTGTCTATGTGCCTTTTATTAACCAAAAATATGTTCAAGCCTTAATTGGATAATGCTTCAACGTCAACATGAGTTTTGATGGCTTTTCTGCATTGTCCTATAAAAACAATATATGTTTATAGTATGAAAGTTAATAGGAGGACGTTGTTTTAAACTGCTAAATTGAATCCAAAAACCAAAAATACCCATGCATAAATACCAAAGTTACACTGCACTATTTATTAAGCATGTTCTGAATATGGTGTGGTTGAAATCTCTGAACGTTACAACATGATTGTACAAGTTTTTAGTTACTGCAGTGTAGAATCGTTACTGACAACGGCAGTTCAGTGGAAGCAATTTGGTGTTTCGTGGCCAGCGCCTGGAACAGGACTATTGCAGCAGTGCTTGAGCTGGACCGTGCCTGTCTTGACTGATGCAGGAGTCTCCCACCACTCTCTCCGAATACATAATGCATGTGCGCGTGTCTTTGTGTGCATGTGTGTGTATTGATTTTTGCAATGGGCTCCATGATTGCTGGTAAAGTCATGGCCATGTTACAGCAGGTAATGGTGACTGCTCACTCCATCAATCTGTATCATGGTGGTGCTTTGTGGCCTAATTGACAGTCACAATGGAGACTTAGAAGCAGCAAAAACAAAGATTCATGAACCAAATAACTTCTTATCGCCTCATTGTTATCTATTGCTAAGAGAGATTCCTGACAGTTGAATTTAAACAGTATTATAGCCTCATTCTAATGCTTTAAAACTACAATACATTTGTGCCCATTTTAGACAATTATGTATCCCTCTGACTTTTGAGTCCATTGTGTATTCTCTCAATTGAGTTTTTAGTTCAACTCAACTTGAAAAATTACCTTTTCCAAGAAGTCTGTATTAAGGTTACTGACCAGCTCAACCAAAATGTGCACATTGCTTGTATTTGCTAACCTGGCAAGAGCCAGATTGATGATTGTGTAGAACTCTAACGCGTTCTCCACGATATCAATCTGGGATTTCTCCCGGAGAATCCTTTCGGGGAAAGGAGGGATAAGCAGCAGAATACTTCAAGCTGATTGGGCGAAGTGACGCTGTGTGCCCGCCTACCAAGGTTGCCGTCCAGAAATACACAAAGCGCCTCTCGCTGTTCATCTTTCAAAAAAGAAATTGGAGATTCTGCTAAAACTGACTTGATAGCCTCAGCTACGCGTCCGTCCTCCTGCGTAGCCATGTTTGTTTTGCTTCGGCCCGGCACTTCTTGCTTTCGTCAAACCCAGATATCCCGCCCTAAACCCCCAGACTGGCGCGTGATTGGCTCGCACACCCAGTGGTTCGACTCGAAAAGTGTAAGCGGGAGCGGTACAAGATGTATTCTCGAGTGTTTGTGAACTCACAAATACCGCGAGAATTCAGCTTGCAGGCAAGGTTATGTATTTGCGTGTGAATCTAAAAACACGCATTTTAAAACAATTGTATTTTTTTACTTGTGAACTTCTCTCTGTGCAAGTCACCTGAATGTGATCATGTGCCTGTTCGCTCACTCACATGTTCATTGATAATGTGTCTTTTAAACACACTCGGCTGTAAAAAGGCGACGTTATACATTTCATTTATCCCCAGGGCAAGGTCACTTCCCCGTGAGTGCAGGGCTTTTACTGCATTTTGTTACACGCCATGGATTCCACGGTTTTCCATGGACCCAATCTGACGCACACTCTTTGTAAAATAGATTGCCGCTGCTATCTTTGAGCACGTTTTAAACCATATGCACAAATAGAGGAGGGTTGTTGTGAATAGTTTGTCTCATCAGTATTCTGCACAGGAGTCAAAATGGCCCAGGAGGGTGCTTTAATTATGTAATAAAGCTGCATGCTTATTTATGGGAGCGTCTAACTCGTGTGTCACCTGCGCATATTGAGTTCACGGTAAAACGCCACACTGCACCGAGTTCCATTCTGTCGTCGAAATGGATCACTTCTATTATGCCAAAGAAACCACACATTTTATATTTGACTGATTTTATATGAACAAGTTGGATGTTTTTGTTCCACTTGAGACCGGATATTTTGACTCTACAACTCCCAGAGCAGTCAATTTGACGGCTTAGAATTGTGTTACTCAGTGTATGTACATTCTTGGTCTTTTTCTGTGATTAGTTCTACCTTTCTCTCAGAGCAGTCATTTTGACGGCTCCCCTTGATTAGAGCGTAAAATTCAAATGTAGTCATTTTCAGTCTCTTGGCAAAAGCTCCTTTTCTCAATGATCTGGACTCGTTTTGAGCCGAGTCAGCTTGGAGAGAAGAGAAAGTGCTAGTCACCATAGCAACATACTGTCAACTTAACAGCAGTTAGTATTTACCTTTTCAACAAACAGTTTTTGCCGTATATCAGGGTATAATAACAGTTTTAGCACTTATTGAAGGCACTAAACATATAAATGACGTAATATTAAAACCAATAATAAAACTACTGAAAAACTAAAACTGTTTTTTAGGAATTGTTCAGACTTCCATTGATTTTGAATGGGAGCCGTCAAAATGACTGCTCTGGGAGATCTAGTATTTAAGACAAAGTAAACTTATAAAGATTGTAAGTTATATCCTTCCTTTATACTGGTCTCTGATTTCATTCAAAAGGTCTTTGAAACGTTTCCTGGAACTTTATAGCAACTCGCCAACAACCTTGTGCTGCTGACATAGAAAACACTAAACCCTAACTGTGCTGGGGTGAAAACAGAGAATTAGGATTTACAACATTGAATTTTATTAATATAATAAGTTTTAGTGTGTTTCTGATGATCACTGATGCATGTTACTGTTTTGATATTGTTCTGTTACTGTTTTGTCAAGTGCCCATTGTTTTACTGCCAGATGTTTTGAATGATTTTATCTCATAATACAAAAAATGAAATCAAAGTTTGTTGTTTCATCTTTTAAATTGAAACGGGTGGCTGAGTGGTTAGCACTCTTGATTCCTAGGTTGAATTCCAATCGGGCCAGGGCCGTTCTGAATGGAGTTTGCATATTCTCCTTGTGTATGTGTAGGTTACCTCAGGGTTGCCTGGTTTCCCTACCACTAAAAACATGCTCAGTAGCATCAATGATGTCCAAAAGCTTTGCTCCAACTCTCTCTGGGTCCTATTGAATTAGATTGAAAAGTAAACTCCTCTAGCTGAGTAACATTTTGTGTCACGCTCATCATTTTGGGCTTAAAGAAAATCTGGTGAAGCGCTTTATGCTCCTGTTGTTTCTGTTTTAATATTGTCTGTAAATCCAGATATGAGTCATATAACCATAGACCAATCAGTTGCAGGGAAAAGACTCCAACCAGTGACATATCATCAGCAAGTCTGCCCCTTCTGAACAAATGCCCATATATGGTAATTAGCTCCAACTTCTTTTATCTTTGGCCAAACACTACATGTGACATCAGCAGCAGTTAGTCCACACCTAATATACGGCCTATGCCTGAACCTCAGGAAGAGTCCTCTCTGCATTACTGAAGACTAATGGGGATCCTACTTAATTCTACCATAAATTCAAATACATACCAGGTTGCATCATTTCATTTCATTGTCACTGTTGGAGCAATTGCATGAGTTAACAGATTTTTGACGTTAAAAAATGATTTATGGCCCTAAAATATAGCTATCTCAGCCCAGTGCGTGGTTCCTCTGACTGCCCAATGTGCACCTGCTCCGCTCACACTCCATCCCGCCGCTGTTTTCACACAATGCAGTGATGTATGGTGCACCTGGTGTCCTGGGAAAACCTTGGCGAGCTCCACTGGCGAGAATTGAAAGAGAATACTTGGACAAGGCATAAATCACACACAAAATATTGCAGGCTGGTGAGTAGAGGTTAATTAAGACATACAGGGCACTTTCCCTCGATATCACATGTTACAGCTGAAAATAAACAATATAAATACAAATGTAATGGCTCTAAATGTGATGGACACGGTTCTGCACTTGTTCTTTTGATTGTTATGAATGAGTGGAGTTCATGTCTTGCTCCCACAGAGTCAGAATCTTTTCATGTGCAGAAGAGTGACGGGTGAAAGCTGTAGACAGACAGAGAAGGAGAAGCCCTGTAGGCACTTGTTTGGCCGGTTGTAAGAAGCATAAAACATCCTACACCAGAAAAGAGAGCCCAGGGCGTGTACTGTTGGATGTGTCAATATTTAACAATATTCTTGACATTGAATATGTATTACTGTTTTTGAGAGCCGCAGCCATTAAAATGCTAAAATGTGTTTGAGTTCAAGTAAAAAATATGAATTAGTGTTTTGGTTAAAACTATTTATATATACAGACTGCGTTAAAAAGCTAATCTTAAAATGATTGAGAGAGTTAATCTAAAACTTTATGCTACTGTAAATGTCCCATTGATTTAAAACTGTAAAAGACAAAATGTACAAACCAGAGTTAAAATTAGGCAGATTGGCTTCAATATATCGGACACTCCCATTATTTAGACACCAGTGATGTCATCAGTTAGTTTTTATTTTTATTTTTTATTAACGGACTTCATTGGATTACTGGTCCATGAAAGGCACTATAAAAATAAAGATTATTTACCCACTTATTTATAATAGGCTTTATGCACCATATGGCCCTTTAAACAAAATAGAATTGCGACTTGAATCCAGCACTCACAAATGTTTTCCTACATGTATCTTTTCATTCAATTTTTTTTTTGTGTGTGAATTGTTGTAGTCCCCATCTCATAAAAAGTTCAGGGCTCCAGTTTTTGTCTTGTTTCACATCAAAAAAACACCAGCACCTAAATAGTCAACTTTCCTCCTCACAATAATAAAGATTTAAATCTATATGCACAGATTAAACGTCATTTTAAGGCTCATATATTTGGTTTAATGGTCACTGGATTACAGTTGCCAAAATATAAACAAAACTATCTCACAACCAAATCATCAACATTTTGAGCGAACGGAATTACCTGCGGTTGACTGGGTTGTTCAACTGGATATGAGGAGGTTG